GTTCAGAGAAGCTTGACTAAGGTGTCTAAAGTACAGAAAAGCTGATTGGTGCTGGTTAAACAAGAAAAGTAAAGATTGGTACAGAGAAGCTGATTGACTGTTGTTATACAGAAATAAGAAAGGTAGAAGTTTGTTTAGAGAAGCTTGGCTAAGGTGTCTAAAATACAGAAAAGCTGATTGGTGCTGGTTAAACAAGAAAAGTAAAGATTGGTACAGAGAAGCTGATTGACTGTTGTTATGCAGGAAATAAGTAAGGTAGAAGTTTGTACAGAGAAGCTTGGCTAAGGTGTCTAAAGTACCGAAAAGCTGACTGGCTGTTGTTATACAGAAATAAGAAAGGTAGAAGTTTGTTCAGAGAAGCTTGACTAAGGTGTCTAAAATACAGAAAAGCTGATTGGTGCTGGTTAAACAAGAAAAGTAAAGATTGGTACAGAAAAGCTGACTGGCTGTTGTTATACAGGAAATAAGTAAGGTAGAAGTTTGTACAGAGAAGCTAATTGGTGCTGGTTAAACAAGAAAAGTAAAGATTGGTACAGAGATCATTAGCTCTGGTAAACAGGAAACAAAAAAGTTAGATTTTAACACACAAAGGCCAACAGACTGTTGGTAAACAGGAAACAAAAAAGTTAGATTTTAACACACAAAGGCCAACAGACTGTGAGTATCTATTGGAAATACATTTCCAGTAAAGGAAAATGTTAGCTTTCACTTCATTCCTGTGTTTTTTATTCACATTTGTTAATATTTTATGTAATCACAGTTACATATAACACCCACAGCTACAACACCACTGACACTTCTGTTCTGTTGTCACTTAAGATCAATGTTTAACAAGTTTGTAATTAGCCAGTTTATTTCTTTTGATGTGTTACTAAGAAATGTACATTGATATACATAAACCACCAATAGCCAATCAAATTTTCTGTGGCAACATAAACCCTTTTCGTTTCCTATTTACAAACAGTCTGTTAGCTTCTGTGTGTTAAAATCTAACTTTTTTGTTTCCTGTTTACCAACCTCTACACACAAAATTGCTATTTCCCTCTTGTGTCTGTTTATGAAACTTGCATGCCACAAGCCTAAGGTTAACACCCACCTAAATTAATGTCAATTGTGTTGTGCATATGATAATAATCCCCCCCCCCACTAGCAGAGTGACATAACCTCCACAGGCAGTGACTCCCCCTATGCATTTGCACTCGAGAAACTTCATTCTTAAAGAAGTAAGAAAGAAAGAAAGGTGCACCAGAAGTTGGGTGTGATGAGGTGAGTAGCTGTCGTAAATACATTTTCAGTAAAGGAAAATGTTAACTTCCCAGACAATAACTCCTCTCCACACACAGAATTGCTAGAATTCCATGCTGGAGTGGCTGGTATAAATTTTTAAACCTATATAAGCTCCCTTCAGAAAGTGTCTTAAGGGTAGCAAATTGAATGTGACACCAGATGGCAGGAGCTCCATATGGGCACACCCGCTGGAGATCATATCTCATCTTGACCAGGGTATACTCTTTGTGTAGAATGCAAAATGGGGATAGGAAAAAGAGCCCTAAGTGTAGCAGGGATGGGTTGAACTTGAACATGGCCAACTGAGCACAAGCATACAAACAGTTGGCAAGCCAGTATGTGTAGCGTTGTTAGGGTGTGATCAGATCATACAGTGTGTGTGTGCTCACCTTGACACTACTGGACAGATTCTGACTGCAGGAGGAGGGCACATGAGCTGTTTGAGGGGTTACCCATACAACATTGATAGTGTCATCACCATCCTACTTTTCACCATCCATCACACCAACAGTTATGAACTAGTAAGTGGCTAGGGTGAAGAATTCATGTTGGGGAGATCCAAAGAAATGCTCAGATCACCATTGGACCACCTGCTCAAAAGGTATTTTTACTAGAGACAGTGTAATAAGTGACTGTGAAACCTATTTTTAAAGTAGGGCAGTCACTTCCTTGGTGCTTGGTTTTTTTCCATGATAGTACATGGAAATGATATGGTCTGGATTAAAGAAGAGAGTAAAACTGTACACCTCTAGTGGTCTTGTGGAACAACCCATCCTTCAGTGGGCATTAGTAGAGCCAGGGCAGATGGGTTGAGTGATTTCTGTTACCCCTGGCCTGAAGCAGATTTTGGAAAATAAACATAATCTGGGAGGCAACATCATCCACCTGGCAGGATACTGTTTGATGGTTTGATGGAAAGGAAGAGAAAAGGAAAAAGTAAATATACTTACCCATCTCAAAGACAGTTGGTGGATTGGAGAATTGTAACTGGGGAAATTCAAAATCCTGCAGAAAATGAAACAACCAGATGATGAAGATAATGAGAGACAAAAATGAGGGGAGTTGTTCAGATGCCAGCCTAGAGCATCTCATCCAAGGGCCAGCAAAAATGGGAAGCAAGACAGAGAGATAGGTGACAAATCTGATGCAAAGAGATGTGAAATAGTCTGCTAGTATCCACATCCAGGAAAAAATATACCAACCGGAGAAGTTGACAGACCCATCGAGTCAGGTTAGAGGGAGAGAGGCTCTTGGAAGAAGAGGAGTCCCAGGGCAGAAACAGACGTTAGTGGAAACTCAAAAGGAGACATCTGTAATGGGCAACACCAAACAGTTCAAACAGAATGTATGAACTGATCTGTGTCTGAACAACTACAGAGACAAAAGCAAAGGTTACTTTCTCCAGTCTTAGGTTGGTCTGGGTAGAGGAGTGCCGTGGAAGCAGGTGCAAGAAGCATCAAGAAAGACAGCAACCACACACAAGGATGAGGAGGAAATAAATCTTAAGAGAGAGGTGATGGGGCACATAGGAGAGCATGCAAAACCACATTAAGTTCCCAATCAGGCATGGGAGTTGAGCAAGGAGGTTAGTGAAGAAGGAAGGAGCAGAATAGTGTGGAGAAGACAGGGAAAGAAAATACCTTGTAACAGTGGGAAAGGCAAAATGTAGTGGGCAACACTGTCCAATATCCAGCAATGGTAGAGACTGACAAACTCTGGTTGAACAGCCTTGTAAAAAAAGGCAGGAAGATGGTTCACAGTAGGATAGTTAGGAGGAAAGGTTCATTGATAGATAGATAAAGTGGAAGGTCAATAGGAAGGTGAAAAGAAGGAGACTACATGATCAGAGAATTCAGCCAGACAAGCGATGGACCAGACAAATCCCACATGTGAAGATGAAGGGATGATATCCCTTGATGAAACAGGGATGTATGAGGTTGGAACAGTATAGAGAGGGCATTGGGTAAAGAAAGGTCTGTGGATACTAAGTGAAGCAGCAGAAGAAACCAAGGATGAGCTGGCCAAAGAGGTACTACAAGAAGGAAATAAAGATTTCAAAGACTGGGAATCTAGAAAAGTAAAGGAAGATTAGCTGTAAGCTAGGACACAAGAATCAAGGAGGATGAGGCATTTGGGTAGGGTGCGAAGTTGTTTAAGAAAGGATTCAGCATGAACCTGAACGTCAGGCGAGGGAGGAAATACTAAATAATCTCAAGGAGTAGGATCGAGGAGCAAAGAATGGAATAAATCATAAGACACAGGTGAAAGAGAAACAAAGGAACATACCTGAGAAATCAAGTCCTGATACAGTGTGGAAGTTTAAGGAATGTCTTCAACCAGTAGAGATATGCCATAAGCAAATCCAGGTGGAGGGAATAGATGATCAAATTCATCTTCCTTCTGGTCATTCTCAAACCAAGAGGACAGGACATAAGCCAAAGGGATGAAAATAGAAGGCCCAGCATGCATGATGGATCCCACAATGTGCTGCACAATGGCTATAACTTCCTCAACAATCAAAAAACCGCTCAAAGTCACAGTAGAGACAGGACTTGTGTATATAATTACTCACACAGGACAAAGTTGATGCCAACATCATTTGAGAATTCAGGATAAGAATTAAAGCTTTTGAAACAAAAGTCAAAAGAAAACAACTAAGTATTGCAAAGGAAAGCAAATATCATCAAATTGAACTTAGACAAAAAATTTGAGCACATCTGTGCAATGCAATTCTGAGGAAAACAATGAAGTTTCTCAAGTGCAAGTGCATAGGAGAGGTTACTGTGCAAGGATATTGTGTTACCCTTCTATTGCAAGGATATTGTATTACCCTTCTATTGGTTGAAGGCTATTGCTGCATGACGATGTCATCATGCAGCAGTGTAGTTCATGTTAAACACGTGAATTTAGGTTGTAGCTAGCTCAAGACTAGTTGCATGCAAGCCTGATGGGCAGATGCACGAGAGAAACAGCAATTCTGTGTTTAGAGGTGAGTTATAATATCAGAATTCTTACCTTAAAGTCAGCAATTGATTTCGATGATACTGGTTGACTTATTTTGGGGTTTTCTAAAAATTTAAATTCAATACACTTTGAATCACAAATAATACACCTCAGTAATATTAATCCAAATTACTTATGTACAATGAACAAATCAAGTTATTTCTAATACACTTAGGGGCCAATGTGTTATTTACCTATGTATCAGTTTATAATATTAATTAAAATAATCTTATGCATAGAACAAACCAAATTATTTCTATTAAACTTAGAAAACAATGTTTTAGTTATGTATGAATCAATTCTAATAAGTAAACATGTGCCACCAAGAGGTATTTAACTTAATAAAAATTGTCATGTCAACAGTTTGGAAGTGAACCTAAAACTTTGTTGTTTTATTTTGTCCATTTTTTTCATTTCCTAAACAATTCTTTATTAGGAACTGAAAGGTGTCTCATCATTTTTATAAAGTTCTTACATAAATAAACCACCAACATTTCTTTAAAGCAAACCTTTGTAATGTGAATGTGTATAAATAAAAGTTGTAAATTAGAACAAAAAAAACAAACAGGAAAGTCTGCAAACACCTATAATTTTAATTTTTTTTTAACAGGCCCCTCATGAGCCAATGGGGGACATTTTTGTTGAAAAAAAAACAAACCAAAAACTAACCAATCTGGTTTGTTTTAATTTGAAATGAATTTTTTTGGACATTTTTATTGGCTAAAAACAAGGCATTTCTGCACCCTTTTAGCATTGGGGCTGCAAAAAGTGATTTGAAGTGGTAAGGTGACTGAAATCACGAGCTTAACAGCTAAGCACAAGAAGCAAGGAAGTCACCAAATGACATGCAGAGATATTCAGGAACCATTTAAAACCACATTGGTAGATGTTGTGCAGCAAGACAAGAACAATATTATGCCTGTAGCTGCTTTCAAAATGTTCCTGTCTGCTCATCCTACTGCTGACTATGGTGATGCTTCAACCTTCCCTACCAAATCGCAAGTAAAATCATTCATATCTCAATTGAAAACTAAACATAAAAAAAGTGATAGCAGAAGCATAAAAGGTTGGCAATTGCTTAATTAATGATGCTGAGAATGTGTCTTTATTGATATATACTGAATTTACTCCCAGCAGGTAGACCTTAGTAATAGGTAGTATGGGGACTTGAGGATGCTGTATTTCACTTAAAAATTTATCAATTAACAAATGAAAACTTGTACTGAAAAGATACCTCCAAAACCACCCTCTCTGGGAGTTTCAGGATTGAACATACTTTTAATATTCAACAAACTGTAGTAAAGACACCCCTCGGCTCCTTAGGGACGTGTTAAATCACAGAAATATAAGCTCATCAACTAGCTTATACTGAAGTAGAATATCCAATCCCATGCTTTGAGTTATATTACAAGTTGCATGATGTGGTAAGACAACCAAGTAAAGGATGTGAAACTATCAGTCATACTGTAATGCGTAGATGGGGTAAGGATGTGATACCACCAGTCATACTGAAAGATGTAGCATGTGGTAAGGATGTGATACTCCAGTCATACTGGGGTGTGTAGCATGTGGTAAGGATGTGATACTCCAGTCATACTGAAATGTGAAGATGTGGTAAGGATGTGATACCACCAGTCATACTGAAAGATGTAGCATGTGGTAAGGATGTGATACTCCAGTCATACTGAAATGGGAAGATGTTGTAAGGATGTGATACCACCAGTCATACTGAAAGATGTAGCATGTGGTAAGGATGTGATACCACCAGTTATACTGGGGTGTGTAGCATGTGGTAAGGATGTGATACTCCAGTCATACTGAAATGTGAAGATGTGGTAAGGATGTGATACCTCCAGTCATACTGAAAGATGTAGCATGTGGTAAGGATGTGATACTCCAGTCATACTGAGATGTGAAGATGTTGTAAGGATGTGATACCACCAGTCATACTGAAAGATGTAGCATGTGGTAAGGATGTGATACCACCAGTCATACTGAAAGATGTAGCATGTGGTAAGGATGTGATACTCCAGTCATACTGGATTAATCCTCTGTTTACAGGCTTGGTCAAATTGACCATTACCATATCTATGTATCTATACATAATAATGTTTAATAGAATTATGAATTTACTAAGTGTATCTTCATGAAATTTCACAAGATTTTAGTAAACATTACAAGTACTTTATAGATAAAAAAATATTTTCTACTAAAGTATTTTTACTAAAGATTTGTCTGTGAACCCAAAAAGAGCTTTTACTTAGTCGGTCTGAGCAAAAGGTAGTTTCCATGTTAATAATAAAAATACTTCTTTTGATCTTAGTTATCTGACTTAAAAACTGTATATTGTAATTGTCATATCTAATTACACCCTGTATACAGATAAAACCCTGATTTACGATATCCAATCCCTACCACCGAAGTGCCTATGGCTGAAGAAGAGATTCTATGTTCAAACATAGTTTATTTTTATTCAATCATTATTATGCTAATTTTTGGTAGTAGACCTTAGTGGTTGATTTATTGTACATTACTAGTAGACCTTATTGGATGATCTAAGTCCCACGATGATGGCTAGCCTCTAAAAAAAGGAGGACAACAGAAGAGGTCACATGACGATGAATTTCCCAAAAAAACTGCATAAAGAAAGGATGTCAAAAGGAATTTCCTGGGATAAAATAGAGGAAATAAGAAACAACATGAACTGGGCAATGACTGAAGTAGATAACAGGGCAGCATAAAGAACAAGTTAGCATAACCTACACCAGGTTGTGATGCAGAGCCTAGAAGGTAAACAAGCAAAATCCAAAGATGAGCACATCGAGGTTAAAACTAGCAGAAGATAAAAACCTCCCAGCTGGGAGGAGAAATTCAAGGGATAGGAACACTAGAAAAGATGAAGAATGATCCTCATCAGGGGTAGAAGAACCAGAAACAAAGGCTGGTTGTAGGAAGAGCTAGTGAAAGTTGTGCAAAGACAAGGCAGGCTCAGCTGAAGTAACAGAAGCAAAAGGGTGTGAATCCTGCATCAAAGATGAAGAATTTACAACAGAACAAACAACATGGTGTACAATGGCTGTAACATTTCTCATTCTCAGTGTATCTCCAGTTGCCATTTAGAGAAAATGAGACAACTCTTACGGAAGGAGCATTTGGACCCAAGGAGGTTTCAGAAATGTAAACATAAACAAATCCACAAAAATGAAGTCATTGAAATGCTATAATTATTCCTACATGTTTTTCATGTACTTATTTGTTTATATTTTTTCCAGTAGAACTGTATACCTGCCTTGATCCTATGGTCATTTTCAAGACAAAATTAGGTACCAGTAACATTTGGTCAATGACAGTGGGGAACATTCCTGTCAAAAAAATATATCAAAGACTCTGGAACTCGTGCCCAAAAATCTTGTAGTTTGATAAAGAGAAGAAATCAAAGTAATACAAGAAAAGATAACAACAGGTATCAGAATTAATTTTAAAATATGTACTTTTCTTTCTCCAACTCAAGGATGAAGGTAGGAAAGATAACATTCTGAAAGTTGAAGTCAAATACTTTGTAATTTTTCATGACTGAATTATAATGAGAAGGAAAAAATTAGCTTTTGGTATACACAGAGTGCTCAAGAGGACTACTGCATGTGAAGAATGTGTCGCCTTCCTATTGGTCATGAGATATAGTCTTATGTGCTTGTCTCATATACTGATGCAGTATACGTTATTATGAGTAGGAGTTTCATTCATAGGGCTGGAGCATGCATCAAGACTTTTCTGCAGCATGAACTATTAGCTATTTGTTCTTTGGAGAGATAAACAGCATATTTAAATAAATTCCTTACTAAGCATGTGGTAAAGTTAGTTAATACAGTCTTCTTACAAAGTACAATATAAAATTAGTAAACTCCTATATATATCTTACCAAGTATGTCATACAGTTCATTAATGAAGGTAAGGTCATACACATTTCTTTCTTCCCAGATCTTGAAAACTCTTTCTACTGATGGTCGTATCTTCTCATCCCTAAAGTTATACACAGATTGATCTGTATTCACTAACAAGGTGATCTAAAGTTAAATACACAGTTTGACTTGTTTCATTAACACGGGACATTACTGACAGAAAGATGATACACAGTTATAAAAACATGATATACATAGACACTACTGACAGGGTGTTATAGAAACATAATATACATGGACACTACTGACAGGGTGTTATAGAAACATAATATACATGTACACTACCGATTGGGTGTTATAGAAACATGATATACATGTACACTACTGACAGGGTGTTATACAAACATAATATACATGGATACCACTGACAGGGTGTTATAGAAACATAATATACATGGATACCACTGACAGGGTGTTAAAGAAACATAATATACATGGATACCACTGACAGGGTGTTATAGAAACATAATATACATGGACACTACTGACAGGGTGTTATAGAAACATGATATACATGGACACTACTGACAGGGTATTATAGAAACATAATATACATGGATACCACTGACAGGGTGTTATAGAAACATAATATACATGTACACTACCGATTGGGTGTTATAGAAACATGATATACATGTACACTACTGACAGGGTGTTATAGAAACATGATATACAGACACTACTGACAGGGTGTTATACAAACATGATATATAGACACTACTGATAAGGTGTTATACAAACATGATATATAGACACTAATGACAGGGTGTTATAGAAACATGATATACAGACACTACTGACAGGGTGTTATACAAACATGATATATAGACACTACTGACATGTTATCACAAACAAAAACATAAGCAAGACTGAACTACCTAAGAAGCATACTAGCTTCATGAAGAACTTCACCAAATGTATCACCAAACTGAGAGCCTGACTTCTTTCTACTATTCTGAATAACATCATTGGCTAAGTAGAGAAGCGTTAACTTGTGAGGAGGTTTGGCTGGAAGAAATGAAAAATATATTATCAATCAGCTTGAATGGAAGATTAAAAATAATACATGAATCTTTCATTGTGGTTCTAATTTATACTTCCTCTGCTTATAATACACAATATTTTTATTCACATGAACAAAACAATGTTATGTATTTGATAAAATTAAAATACCAGAGACAGCTGAATATTTAAGATAACAATATTTTAAAAAACAATAACTAATCCAAAATCTGATCAAGTTCAAAGTACATACCTACTTTTAACAAAGTGTTGTTATTCATAATTCTATAAATCCAGTTATTAAACCTTTTAATCAAGTGGACTTCAGATGTCATATTACACAATTTAGATGTAGTCCCTTACAAGTACATCTTACTCTACTGTTTCACATCTACAAAATGTAAACATTTCTAAAAGTTCTAATTTGGAATATATTAAATCCAGTTGAGATCTTACTTTCTGTAGCAAGGTCTGATCACAAAAGCTATTTATATTTCATGGGTAGTTCTATCATATTTTGTATCTACTATTTCATGGGTAATTCAATCATATTTTATTTCTACTATTTCCACATTTCTACAACCTTCTTATGGTGAGTTTTATGATAGATTACTAAATGTGTTTAAGTCCTATATTAGATATTAGTGAGGAACAATTATCAGGCTATAATTTACCTTTTGCCAGTACTTTAATCCACATTTCTACAACCTTCTTATGGTGAGTTTTATGATAGTAAAATCCAGAGTGACAGAGACTGTATTCCATCTTGGGTGTTGGTCACAGTTTGGAATTTCTTTTCCAAATTATTTTCATTTAATGCTGACGTCATTTTTACAACACGGGATGAATAAATTCAGTAAAAAAATAATGAAAACAGTGTTTCTGTTAAGCTATGACGCTTTAGTTTTTTTATAATTTCATGATATAAGGTGCTTCCTCAGTTGTGTACTTAAGGTTTTTGTCTCAGTCACTCTTCTCATTCTTGGTTGTCTTAGTGATATGCACCTAAAATAAAGGTAATCAAATAATATACTAACACTTATCACCTGTATTTAGGGAATGACATTTCTGTACAATACAACATAATTGAATAATATAGTAACAATATTTAATTTACACCGTTTTTAAAGAAAGCTACGATAAGATTTAAAAACCAGAAGGACACATATTAATCAGATTTTCCGAGTCACAAAATCTCCAGTACAAAAATCACAACCATTCAGTCCATCTATACATTTAAAAGCCACTCTCTATTTGGAACTCTCCCTCTGTCGGTAACATTCAAACTGGCTCAAGCAGAAGTCTCGAGTTCAAATCCCAGTCAAGTGGGAATTTTTATAATTTTTTTTAATTATTAACTCATCGCGTTTATAAAACAATATTATTATATTAGGAAAAACTAACATAACATGATACTTTAGATTAGGGATTTGAATTATATTAACATTTGATTACAAAGACAGAATGTCACAGTGGTTATAGCACTCAACTATCAGGTTAAAGTCTCAAGTTCGAATCGCAGTTGATTGGGATTTTATGTTAATCTTTTTATTTATTTTTTAAATGGTTATTATCATATTTACAGTAAACTCTGAACATTTGTAAAAATACAAATACAATTATAATTTAAATAAGGGATAATATCATATTACATAATAAACATGAATGATTGTGTCAAAAACAACTTAAGTATCTTTTCAATACAATAGATGGCACTACAATACTTTATCATTGATGTTTTTTCACCTTTGGTAAGAGATTTTTTAAAATTTAGTCAAAATATTTATAAACATTTTTAATGAAAAGCTATACCTTCATGAATATGCCCTTCACCATAAAATTTATTACTGTTGTCATCACAATTAATAAATTGCAGAGTCAGGTTTTTGACGATGTTCGAATATTTCTCAGAGAACCAGTTTTTTATCATGGTTTGATCTATAAAGCTTTATTAACTTACAGGAGATGACAAAATATACACAAAAAATGTTGTTTTTGTGAAATACTAGAAAAAGGACAAACATTCTCCTGACGAAGAATAGTCAACTATTCAAAAGTAATCGAGTTTTAGGTCTATATTTTTTAAATTCGTTGCACCTTTTGTGCTTGATCCTGTGTGTGCTAATTGTTGTATCAAAACATTCTCCATACACATACTGTTACTACGACATAATTAATTAATTTAGATTTAATTTTCATAAGAAAAATGAATAGTTATTTACTGTTAAATACAGGCAGTCAGCTAGTCTTATTAATAAACTTAGATAGCTAATGCTGGGGACTTTCACATAATAACAAACTACTCAAAACTTTTCAACAAATTTCACTTATTAGACACTAAGCCTCATCAGATAGTACAGATAAG